ACTATGTGTGGCTTAAATGATCTTGATGCAGTCAGATTTACTAAATAAAATATATGTTTCTGCGTCTGCTTGCATCAAGCTTGCCTTCTAGAGAACTCCTCCTTTTATGTTGCTTCCAAAAAGTCTATACCACAAAGGGCTGTTGATAAATTTAAGTACATTTTCAGCACAATGCTTGCTTAAACAGACAGAGCGCTTCCATTGTGTATACTGTAAGCAAGAGATGGGCGGTGTGACGTATCATGTGCGGTTCTGCATATATAAATATAGATATATACAGTATGTGACCCTGGACCACAAAACCAGTCATAAGGGTCCATTTTTCGAAAATGCAAACACCCGAGCAGGAAACTGTAAAATTACATAACTGCACTGAATAAAATTCCTTTGATTATATCATCTTGAGCGCTTGCGCCCAATCCGACTGTAGTCTGTTAATGCGGGCTCTGAATGGAAACGGATCTGAGACTGAGCAGCACAGCCACTGATTACGGGTCACCCGTGTCAACAGTACGGGAACACCCGCTCAGCGGACAGCCCAGAGACAATGGGCCGTGTGTTAAAGCTCTGACAGAGGACTGCGCAGGGCAGAAGCGCTCTGATAGAACAGGGAAGCGAGTGTGCAGGCGGCTGGCGTGGTGAGCCCACAATGGGATCCAGAGCTCCGTCTTCCACCTTTATTGTGTACCTGGGTTCACCACAACCCCGGTTTTCCTTCCCTGAGACTGACAGCTCAGACAATCACAGTCATTGTGCTGTTTCCGAACGGTGTGTGTCATGCTGTACGTGAGCGGTGCGCAGAAAGGGCTCGTCTGCATTTAAGAGACTGAAATCCATTGGCTTCTTGATTTATCGCTCACTGTTGTGAGTGCGTCTGCGACAAGCCCCGACAGAAACGACACACACCTGGAGGCCCAAACATGCTGCTCCCAGCGCGGGCCGCCGCACACAAACATGGCAGCCCATTCACAGGCCTCTCTCCTGGCAAACCGCACATGCTTTTCTGCTCGTGCGTTGTTGCTGTGCTTCATGTCTGTGCAGTGCCACGGCGGGGGGCTCTGGGTGCCAGCTACCACAGGTGCTGCTCTGCCTTGTGTGAACATTTAACGCATAAAGACTTCAGAACACAATCTGAATCTTCCTGTATTATTCACTGCGGATGACAGATTTACAGCTTTGACTGCACATCAAGCTGAGCTGCAAGAGCTCCTTGCGAATGCTTGAGACTCCTTGTCTTCTGAATGCAAGCGGCTGCTGATCAATGGCTGCTCTGCTCAAGGAAAGATCTCGCATGCAATGCCATCCTGCAGAGCCGTGTGTGTTTCAGCTGCTCTAGCCGGGCCCTTATCAGTTTGGTATGTCGTCAAACCTTCACTCATCCGGATGTCACTTAATGAGCAATAGCTGTGCTAGCATCAGTGAAATGGCAAAGTAAATTCTTACCTGATCATCGCAAATGTTAGCTGCATAACCTACTTTAAGTGTATAATAATAGAGTTTGGCTACACTTCATTTTAAGGTGTGCTTGTTATGGTGCAATTAAACAAGTAATAAGTAACATTAATTAACAAACACCATGTACTTACTATAGGGTTAGAGTTAGGTGTAGGTTTGGTTTAAGCTTCGTTTGTAATTATAATTACGCATAATGTAGTGACTATAGTAAGCACATGTAACATACTGTATGTATCAAGGAAACCGTAAAATGTAGTGCAAAGATATTTATAATAAAGTCTGCAATTTTCTATTAAAAGCAAGAGGTGTCTGCATGTATGCATGTGTTTTTAATATTATATTCATAATTTTAAAGGTTACACAATACCGCCATTAAAAGTACAGTGGAAGTACCACTGCATTCTGTGGTTTTTACCTGGTACTCAAAAACACCATGTGTTGGATATTTACACAAAAAATGATTCCATGGAATCAGCGGTCACACAAAGAAAACTGATATTGTGAAGCTAATGTAACCGATTCCAATAGAGTCCGGTCGACTGAACGCTAATCAGCAGAGAAATGCTGTATATTCCTGATTATAAGTCAGCAGTTGCCAATTACAGCACAAACTGAATTTAAATCTCATGTTGTGAAATATGCAAAGGAAAACAGGCACCAGTCATAAGAGTCAATTTTTCAAAATTGAGATTTATGCATCATCTGAATGCTGAATAAATCAGCTTTCCATTGATGTATGGTTTGTTAGGATCGGACAATATTTGAAAATCTGGAATCTGAGGGTGCAAAAAAATCTAAATATTGAGAAAATCATCTTTAAAGTTGTCCAAATGAAGTTCTTAGCAATGCATATTACTAATCAAACATTACGTTTTGATATATTTACAGTAGGACATTTACAAAATATCTTCATGGAACACGATCTTATGATCCTAATGATTTTTGGCATAAAAGAGAAATGTATAATTGTGACTCATACAATGTATTGTTGGCTATTGCTACAAATATCCCCCAGCGACTTAACACTGCTTTTGTGCTGCAGGCTATATATATATACACGTACATCTAAGTGGCATAGATGTAAAACACTTAAACTATTCTATTTAAAATTGTATTTTGACAATTTAGTTAATAATTTAATAACTGACGACAGCCAAAGCAGAATCCCAGAATCCCAGATCACTATTTTCCAGAGACACACAGTTAGACCAGTTAACCTCAAAACTGCTTTGACTGACTAAACCTCAAAAATGTTGATATTCAGATGAAATGAGAATAGCGTAGTCATTCATCAAAATTACTGAGATTAAAAAATTAAGCTGGGGAGGTCATCCTACCCTATGTTTTTAATCAGATAGCGCTACTTTATTCTAACTTCTAAAGACAAAATATAGAACATGAACTTTTCTGACTGAACGTTTCACTGAGCTGTTGCAATGTGCAATGAAACCACCAAAAATACTGTGATCGTTTTAGATGGCCACCATGTTACTGAATGACTACCATATACCACTTTAAAGACATCACACAATGTAATTATGGTACCGTACCATGTCAACAAAAAAAAGTATCACTGTAAAGAAATGTTACTTCTAATGTAGCCTTCAGCCGTGAAATGTTGCCTAGGTAGGCACCTCTCGTCTGGAACAGAGCTGATATCACTTTATATGCATCCACTCGGCACTTGGGGATTTTTGTGACAGGTAAGGAGAAATCCGAAGCCTTTAGGGCAGAAGCTCTCGATGTACAATGGCCTGGCTGTTTGCATCTTTCCCATACAGTAATGAGTACAGTACTCCACACAGGGACATACCGCGGCTGACTGTTACGAGAGGAATGCCGAGCTGAGGGATCAGAGGAGCGCTGGGACGCGGAGGGGGTTAGGCATGATCAAACACAGCACAGGTACGCCAGCGCTTCTCAGATAACAGCAGCCCTGTCTTCACACATAATCCTTGCACATTTACTCAGAGTGTCTCCATTAAAAGCCTCCCATCAACACACACACACACACACACTCTCTCAACGTAAAGCTACGAGACACATCTGTGTGTGAACAAGACACCTGATCTGCTAACGAGAGCAGAGACGGAGCTCATCGTGCTGAGCAGACACATTGACCTGGATCCTGTCAGGAAGAAAGACATGATCACAAGCACACCGACTCCAATAACAACATGTGCATCACTGCAACAAGTCCACATGTTCTGCTGAAGACAAGAGGAAGTGAAACGGAGAGAGAGAGCGGCCACAGGACAGACAGGTTTCAAACATTTCAATGTAGCGGCGCGTCTTTGTGTGCCAGGACAGATGACTGGCATTTACACAAAGACTACGCACATACTAATCACTCACTGGTTTCACCCTAATTCAACAGGTTTTATTTTAGGCTATCGTAACAAATTACTGTCCCAATTTAATGCATGGATATGCATTAATCTTTATGCAATTTAAAGCATTTTGATGCATGGAAAGATCTATGAGCAGCAGTAGGCAGTAACCTCTAAAATCACAAACCTTCACTATGAAATGCTCTTTAAGAAAAAAGAAACATTTTTTAAATTTGGGGACAAAACTATGTACTTAGATACTAGATTAAAGTGTGTGCATGTGTGTTTTTGGAGACAAAAAACTGCTTTGAGCATTGGCGGTGACCTGTTTTGACCTCACACCAGAAAGGGCCTTGGCTCTCAAACCGGTCATCGCCCTCCCTCGATACACAAAGCTATCATAAAGTACGCAAGTAACTAACACAACCTTCTGTTAAACAGGAAGAAAAATATAATTTGCTTTCATGAACAAAGTTCAACATGCTGTCCACTCTTGTCCGTCCATTCAAGGTCAAGAGATTGCTGGACTTTTGCAGCACTGAGTCACAGAAAAGCCTAGTTCATCTAACCACCACAACAGCAGTAAGAGTGAGAAAACTTCTTGACATTTACATATTGTACTAGCCTTTCCTGTTGGAAGTTCTTACCTAGTCCTTCTTCCATTATAGCAGGTTCCTCTAAGGTTTAGCTCAAACCCTGATTAAACTCACCCTACCTGTATTTTTCGAATAACTCTAAAGACCTTGATTAGCTTGCTTAGGTGCGTTTGGTTAGGACCGGAGCTAAACTCCGCAGGGCAGTGGCTCTCCAGGGCCAGATTTGAGGAACCCTGCCCACATAGTATGGCTCTGCTATCAAAACCAGGTCATTACGCTGTCCATGGTGCTTAGCCATATTCCACGGAGATTAAAGGTTGTCCATTAAACAGGTCTCAAAATGGTAATCTGAGCAAGCTATGTACTGTGTGGTAAATCCCCTAAATTCTTCCCTCCCTTTTTTCTCTCAAAGAATACATAAATACACATTTCAAGTGATGACAGGTCAGCAGGCAGCAAATATTTCCCCCTCCCAACTATATGGCACATTAGTTCTGCATATTTAAGCAAAAAGATATTCCAAAAACACATCCAGACCTTTCACGTATTTAACACATCTTTAAGCAGAGATCTGAAAAGGAAGTGACCTTTGAGCCTGGAGGTGGGCTACTGTACTCACCCCATAACATGAGCTTGAGCTTGAAACTCGCACAGGGGCCCTCGGAGGATAACAGCCACCTTCGGAGACCGGACATTGGAAAGTTCCAGTCTATTAAGCCAGGAGTCCCACGGAGAGACTCATTTGGGGCTGGGAGAATGAGAACGCCGCACGGGAGAGGGGCAGTGAAATGGATCCGTCCAGACTGCTAATGCTAGAGGTGGGCAAAAGCAGCTAACCGGGTGCGAGGACACATGGTTTGAATTTGGTCCCGTGTCATAACAGGAGGAGCGAGCCGACTGGCAGCAGAAACCCTCCGACGCTCGTTTCCTACTTCTGGAGAAAGACGATCCTTCCCTGCAAAGACTACTGTAGCGTTTCCCTATCCCTCCCCATCTCTTGAGTCCGCCGCTCAAGATTATATCCAATCGGCTCGTCATCAGGCTGAAACAGAGCGGCCTTTGAGTGTCTGAAGAGGGACTGAGTGAAGACATTCGGGCTCCATCTCGCAGCCCCGGCCATCAGCTCGGGTGACAAGCACATCAGGGCTTTTCCTTTCTTCAGGAAGCACAACGCGACGTCAGGGTGGACCCACTGTGGCAAGGGCAGAAACAGAAGGGATACATTACTAACCTTTCTAGAAATTGAATCTGGCAGAGTGAAAAGCAAAGTCATATACGTTTGGGTAAATGACAGATCTGTTGTGGAGAGATAGAGCAATGGTCAAACATCTCAATCGACATTCAATGAACTTTAGAAATATTTCAAATGTAACAAATTTTATGCAATACCAGCTTGAAAGCTGCAGCGACTGAAGCTGGTAGCCTAAGACAGTGGTTCCTAAGGCCTCCACAGCAGTGCACATTTTGCATGTCTTAGTAATCAAACACACCTGATTCAGCTGGGAAACACTGGCCTAAGAGCTACACTTGGAACGTGTCCAGTCCTGCTCCTGGAAGGCCACTGTCCTACAGAGTTTAGCTTCAACTCGCCTCAGCACACCTGCCAGGAAGTTTCTAGTTAGTATGCCTAGTAAGACTCGGATTAGCTGGTCCAGGTGTGTTTATTTAGGGTTGGAGCTACACTCTTTAGGACAGTGGCCTTTCAGGAGCAGGACTGGACACCCGATTTAACTTCATTTGATTTCTGTCCTTTTTACCACTTTTATTGACGGGTACAGTAGAAAGACAAGACAGGAAAATTATGCAGAGAGAACAGGACTGAGAAATGTGTTTGCCTACACGTGCGCCATGACTTAATATGTTGGAGCACCGCACTAAATGCCAGACCAGAGTTGGGCAAGTCCAGTCCTGGAGGGCCTGTGTCATGCAGTGTTTAGCTCCAACTCGCCTCAGCACACCTGCCTGGAAGTTTCTAGCTTGCTTAGTAAGATCTTGATTAGCTGGTTACGGTGTGTTTATTTAGGGTTGGAGCTAAACTCCGCAGGACAGTGGCCTTCCAGGAGCAGGACTGGACACCCCTGATTTAACTTAATTTAATTTCTGTCATTTTAACTAATTTTATTGACAGGTTCAGTAGAAAGACAAGACAGGAAAATGATGCAGAGGGAACAGGATTGAGAAATGTCTTCAGTCATGTGCGCCATGACTTAATATGTTGGAGCAACATAGTAACTGCCAGACCAAAGATGGGCAAGTCCAGTCCTGGAGGGCCGCTGTCCTGCAGAGTTTGGCTTCATCCTCAATCAAGAACACCTGTCTTCAGTCTTCATGATTGTTAAAAAAATTACAGGCAGGTGTGTTCAATTAGGGATACAGTTAAACTCTGCAGGACAGTTGCCCTCCAGAACTGGAGATGCCCATCCCTGCGCTATACCATGACAAGAGCTCAGCTGAGACCTCAAAGCTCAGATGAGTTTTAGAGCTGTTGGAATTACCGCAATTACCTGACTCAAACATTTTGTTTCATGCACATGATGCAAAAATAATCTTATATTACTAAGACTTCACCAGTAGAAAGATTATGAGCAATATCAAAGACTACGGATGAGACCACTGCCATTTTTGTTTTAGTTCTTGCAGGAGAGAGGAGGAGGAGCTTCCATAAAATTGGCAGCAAGGTGAGGTGGTCATGGAGTTCAAATGAAGCATTACGCAGCGGGTGGCTGAGGAATGCACTAGTTAAACTCACACACAGCATACAGTAGAGAGTTACATACCCATGAAATGTTAGGAACCTACACACATGAACACATTTGAGTACTTCTGCTCAGCATCAGTGCCAAGTCAAACCCATTCCTGGCCTGGTCCTAAACCAGGCTGAACTGGATCCTGGCACAGCAGAACCTTCATCCTCATCTCAGTTACACTATCTCTGTATGTGCTTTGTGTGTTGAACAAGACGCAGCTTGCTCATTCTGCCTATGGAGGTGTGGAGAGATTAACTTTATTTTGAATTCCTTCCTCTTAATATAGCAATTACCCCCCTCGCCCCAACTCACCGCAGCACCGGGCCTGTTCCCAACACTCTGAATATTTGTTTTGTACACAGAAAGCATTTCATGCTTACTCTCCAAAAATCCTAAACTTCAAAACAGCATGGCTCTACTCATTTCTGACTGCTGCACAAAACTCAAGCCATTTCCAGAGTACAGCGTAAGAATGTGCTCCAATCTAGTTTTCAGCCATAAATCATTACGTCTCAAGTATTTCTTCCTTGTTGTGATTCACTTCTACTGAAGTTTGGATCTAGATCAAATCAGCACAGCTCAGGTTTGACCTTTAAGTCGTCATGTGAGAGTCACAGAGATCACTTGATAGAAACTCAACATGCGAAAAGAAATGTTTGTTTGTTGTATTTCTCAAAATATCTTGACGTTATGAGCGGGAGTCAGGGCTGGAGTGGAGCCCGTTCTCAGCCCAGGAGTTTAATACCCAAGGACAGCTCCTGTTACACCTCCACCCCACCTCCTCCCATTTTTTTGGGGTGGTGAAAGAGCTTGGACAAATGAAGATGATCCTGTTATATATATTACCCATAAGTCTCAGCAACAACATAAAGATACATAACAAATGATTATGCACTCAAAAATATGAATAGGCAAACTACATAAATACTGTCAATTAAGGGTCATATTCATATGACATATTTTATAATATATCGATGAAATGATAACGAAGTATCTTTTTGCGTTTGGGTGTACGAACAACGATTGACACTGTCTCTCATCGAAAATAAACCAGACACTTGGTCTTGCCATGTCCTGAGCGGCACTGGCGGCCCAATTTATGAGTGACCTGCCGGGAATTCTCCTGATTCTCCTAATTAGCCATTAGGGAGTAAAGGCCGACATAATTTTTTATTTTTGGCCGAACTATCCCTTGAAATTATTTTAGTATAGAGCCCCACACGACATGCAGAAAAAATAGCCTATATATGTTGTGGCCACAAATTAATAATTTGTTCCCATGACTTATTAATTTATTAGTCTGTTCCCTTATTTTAGTTAAATTGTGGCCAAGTTGTACTTATCCGTTCCCTTGTTTTAATTTATTTGAATCAGTGGCCATGTCATGTGTGAGGCTCCATATTTTAGCACTCCACTCTACATACTATATGCCGAGTCCCAGCCTGAACGATAAATTATTGAGTTTCTTGGGAGAGGAAGTTATTCTGATTCCCGGTTTTGTTTTTATAAATTTGCATGCTTGACCCCAAGTCTTCTCCAGCGCTATGTCAAATTGTAGAGCACATTAATGAAAGTCCAAGTAAAAGCCACTTCGGTTTACCTTCCTGTCAACTGGATAAAAATATCTCTTAGAAGAGATGTGAAGGGAGCGCGAGTCTCTGCGAATGCTCCAACACAAACCCGGTGTTATCTGGCACTATCGAGGTACTGATCCCTCGGGTCGGCCGCAGGAAGAACCCCGCAGCGGCGATGCTGAACTTCCTCTAGCACTGACCTCAACTGAGACACAACTCAACACATAGCCGTTTTCACATTCATCAATGCACTTTTTAATATTAACTCAATACAAAGTGTATAAAAGCATAATTTTGGTGACATCTATAAAAAGCAAACAGCATTAAAAAATGACACCGCCCACAGTCTCTCGAGCAAGGCGGGTGAGAAGTTGAAGCTTGTGAATGTCCTGATTTACAGGTGTGCTCCATATCAGCTTACTGATTTTGTTGTGCGCACATTAGTTGTAATGCAAGATGTAAAATGTTCAGACGCATGGCAGTGATCTAGACTTTGTAACTGAATGCGTTTCCTCTTCCACAGTGAGAGCGCACTAATTTTCAAGCTCGGAGACAGAAAAAAAAGGCACAGGACTTTTTTTGAAAGCTTCTAACTGTGATGTTTACTGTGCTTACTGTAAGTATCTCAGATTTTAACTAATTGTATTACGTTTGAACTGCTGCAGTCCCACTTTTTTGTCTTCCCCTCTCATCTTTTCGTTACTCTCAGAAGAGTTGCTCGTCACAAACACTAAACAATAGCGTCATTAAGCAGCGCGGCCGCAGAGACACGTAATTAGATTAAAACAAAGTGGAAACTCCAGTTTCAGGGAAAGTCCAGAGTTGCTGGTTGGTGCGACTGTCAAACGAAAACCGAGCTGCATCCAGATTTGACAGATTGGTACAGATGGGGTAATTCAACACAGTTTTTTGTCCATGCTTTCCATGTGCACATATCATATTCAGAAGTGCAAGCATCAGAAGACCCTTTCCGTTCACAACAATGACACAACTGTTCTCAAGGCTTTATGTAATACAAAGGCCTCTACAGGGGGTGCGGGGAAAAGCACTTTAATGTGCCATTGCCTTTCTCTCCCTTCCAGTGTGGAGAACACGCACTTACTGCAACATCTGACTCACCGCCGCCACACAACACCTGCATGAGGAAGAGAAGATAAAAACCAGTAGCTTCAGCGATGCCATCCCATCTGGGGTGCATTTCCCAAAAGCATCGTTAGCTAACTTTGGTTGTTAGTTCCATTGAAACAGATCCAGCACGACAAGCATGAAAGTTTTACCATTCAGTTACGAATTAGCAAAGCTAAATCAATCTACATGTTAGCACAGCAGTGTAAACGGGAAAAACACCGAATCAGCCAACACAAGAGATACTGGCTGAGAAACAAACACGCTTTATTAGAGACATCGAGAGTGTTTAATGTCAAAATACATCAAACTGTAAATCAAATGAAGAAGGGCGACCCGGGACTCTTTATTCTTCACGCATTTGTGCAGCAGATGTCTCCAGCACAGCCCGACAGCAAGATGGATCACATGTATTTATGACAGTTCACACATGGATGGAAACAAACAGCCGGCCTCTGGGAGAAAAAAGAACACGTAACTGAGACCTCAGCGTGGAAACAGTTTGCAGGAAGGGTCTGTGCCTTTAAGTCACACTGTGACTGCTGAAGTTGGGTCATGATGATATATTGAATATATTGTTATATTGGATTTCATGGTATATCAAAAATGGATTAATTGACAAACCGGACCATAAGCCTGCTAATGCAAAATTTACAGAAATCCAGAGAAAAGACTACAAATATCCAGCAGGCAAAGATTAAAGATGACTATGCTTAATAAATCTGAAAAAGGTCACATAAGGTTGC